TTTGGATTTGAAGGGGAAACAGTTTCAGTGCAGAACTTTACAACACACCATTTGGAGCAGCAGAAGTGGACCTGTTTCCCCTGTATCTGCTCACTGGCACAGTGATGCCAAAAAAGGGCATCAACTGCCATCGTGCTGCTTCTTGCAATCCCTGATCTATGGTGAAATATTCTAGCTTTTCACGCTGTCTGTGAAACGCAATTTAACATTCCACTGACGAGAGCCAGGCTGTGCACAGCACACACCTTGGAAGCACTATTTCCAAGTACCTTCCCAAATCAGACTGCAAGTGCAAACCAGTGCAGCCAGAATCAAGGTTATCTGCGCCCATTTCCTTGCACTGGCTCAGATGACAAAATAACCATAATAAAATACAGCCCGTTCCAGAAGCTACATCAACAAGTTTTGGACTGGATATACTGCAGTGATTTCTAACATTAAAACAGTAACAAGGATATTTTGACACTGTAAACGAGATTTCTGATTTACATTTTGAAAGTTCTTCCCACAGCAAAAAAAAGTGAAGGCCACAACACAAAACTCTGTGAGAGAGGTTCATCTCCCAACTAAGCTCAGGCCTAGATGAAAGCTCCCACCCTGAAACATAGGATGACTTCATCTTGACAGGCCAGCACAATTCAATGACTATGTGCAAAAACCTTCAGCTATAAAAATCTATAACGTACAGCTGAAGGCTGTGAGGAGCCCTTGTCGAGAAATGCACTAGTTCACAGAAGATCAAAGAGAGAAATTAATGCTGATAAAGCTTTCATGAAGTCATAGCCTGTAAATCTCATTTAGTACCTCTGGTCAAAAACCATAATGAAGAAACGGAGACAGTGTTGGAAGAAAGTTGACAAAACGATTTAAAAAAAGTGTTTTTCATCTGCATCCCGTAAGTTATTTCAGGAGTAAGGGGTTTTTTAAACCTCTTTTATTATTAAGGTCACTGAGCATGTCAGGTTTCTAACCCAGTCACTAGATACACCGTCACATAGCATCACCGCAACTCATTTAGATCGCTAAAAAAATCCACCTCACACTCTTAATCCGGTTAGTTCACGTCTTCAGTAGTTCACGCTTTTTGAAGTTCGTTCACCTCGCTCTTTAAGACTGATGCTACCCAAAGCAAACACATACGATCGTTTTTAGTGGGACTTAGTATTAAGTCTTCATAACACAAAATAATCTTAGAGCTAGCACGGCTGCAGAGAACTTTCACCTCCACACACGTTAATGCAGGCACTAATCTGGCCGGCTCTGCAGCACAGACAGCACGTCCTGAGCAAAGCCAGCCAGGGGCAGGCACTCGTACTGCTCAGATTCACTTTTTCTACCCCCCTGCGACCTGTGGCTGCTGCAGCCAGGTGAGCCCTGGCAGGGCACGGGGAGAGCCGTGGGATCTCACCACCTCCCCTGCCTTCCTGAACGCCCGCAATGGCACTACGGAGACGAGAGGAAGCAAGGAGAGCGGCCCATTCCAGAGGAAAAAAAATATTACGGAAAATAAACGCGCGAGTGAAACCAAACGAGCCGCTGGGCTGCACCCACCGAAGAAAGGATGGGGCGGGGGGGGCGGTGTACAGGGAGGGAGGGGAAGGAAGGGTGATGCCGGAGGGACAACCTCGGGAACACGGAGGGAGAGGCAGAGCTGAGGAGAGCGAGGCCAAGCTGCTCCCCCTCCCTGAGGGCAAGGGCGGGCAGGGCCCGGAGCCGGGCAGGGCGGCGGGAGGGAGGAGGGAAGGAGGGAGGCGTCCGGGGCAAGGGCGCTGCCCCGGCGGCCGCACTCACCACACCATGCCGTAGGCCCCCTCGCCGATGTAGGAGAGGTTGGTGTAGCGCGGGCCCACGTCGAACACTTGTCCTCGCACCATCTCCGGGCCGCCGGCGCTGGCGGAGCCGCCCGCCGCCCCGGCCCCCGACACCGCCGCCATGTTGTCCGTGCCGGGAACCGCGGTGCCTGCGTGCGGGGGGAGGGGCGGAAGCGGGCGAGGAGGATGCGGGAGGGAGGAGGGAGAAGGGAGGAGGAGAAGGAGGGAGAAAGAGGAGCCGCCCGCTCGGGAGCCGCGGCCGCTCCGCCTGTGCTGGCCCGTCCGCCCCGTCAGCGCCGATCCCGCCGCGGCCGCACTAAGGAGGCGCCGCCGGCCGCGCGCGCGCGCATCGCCCGGGCCGGGGGGGTGGTGAGGGGAGGGCGGGGCGCGCGCAGGGAGCGGCGCGGGGCGGGGCCGCGCGCGCAGCGGGGGCGGAGCCGCGCGCGGCGGGGGCGGGGCCGGGACTGCGGTACCGCAGCCGCTGGGGAGGGGGCGCGGCCGCCGCTGGTCACGTGGGGGGCGCGGCGGATCACGTGGGGCGGGTGCGCGACCGCCCGGCGCCATTAGAGGCGTCAGGTGATGGCGGGAAATGGAGGCGGGCAGGGAGTGCACCCAGTGCCCATCCCAGCGTACTGCCCATGCCACCACACTGCCCATCCCAGCGTACTGCCCATGCCACCACACTGCCCATGCCACCACACTGCCCATCCCAGCGTACTGCCTACCCATGTCACCACACTGCCCATGCCACCACACTGCCCATCCCAGCGTACTGCCTGCCCATGCCACCACACTGCCCATCCCAGCGTACTGCCTGCCCATGTCACCACACTGCCCATGCCACCACACTGCCCATCCATGTCACCACACTGCCCATCCCAGTGTACTGCCCATGCCACCACACTGCCCATCCATGTCACCACACTGCCCATGCCACCACACTGCCCATCCCAGCGTACTGCCCATGCCACCACACTGCCCATCCCAGCGTACTGCCTGCCCATGTCACCACACTGCCCATGCCACCACACTGCCCATCCCAGCGTACTGCCCATGCCACCACACTGCCCATGTCACCACACTGCCCATCCCAGCGTACTGCCTGCCCATGCCACCACACTGCCCATCCCAGCGTACTGCCCATGTCACCACACTGCCCATGCCACCACACTGCCCATGTCACCACACTGCCCATCCCAGCGTACTGCCCATGCCACCACACTGCCCATCCATGTCACCACACTGCCCATGCCACCACACTGCCCATCCCAGCGTACTGCCCATGCCACCACACTGCCCATGCCACCACACTGCCCATGTCACCACACTGCCCATCCCAGCGTACTGCCTGCCCATGTCACCACACTGCCCATGCCACCACACTGCCCATGTCACCACACTGCCCATCCCAGCGTACTGCCTGCCCATGCCACCACACTGCCCATGTCACCACACTGCCCATCCCAGCGTACTGCCCATGCCACCACACTGCCCATGTCACCACACTGCCCATCCCAGCATACTGCCCATCTCACCACACTGCCCATGCCATCTCAGTGCCCATGCCAGCGTACTGCCCATCCCAACCCACTGCCTGTGGTATCGCGCCATCCCAGTTCTCTCCTGTGCCCCGGCTGAGGGAAGGACGGGGCTCACGGAGTTCGGCACGCAGGTCACACCCGCTGTTGTCCCCCAGCACAGGCTCCTCGCGCGAAAGCCGAGTGACTGTGATAAGGGCGAGTTTAGTTCTGACATTTCCCGAGCTCGTAACCTCTTTTTACACGTTGCTTTTACATGGTGCTTCATTTTCCTGTTGGCTGCTTCCAGTACAAATGTAAATAAACCCTGCAGCGGAGGTGAAAGCGCAGTTGATGGTTTGTCTGATGCCTTGGTCACTCCTTGCCACGGTGACATATCTTTTCTGTTTCCCTTCAAGGTTCCGTTCTCCTAAAATAGCTTTTTCTTGTTTGCAAAAGTTACACACAAGGACCTTAACGCCGCTTCTTTTTTTTTTTCCCTGCAATTCTCTAACGATCCTGTCAAAAAGCACTAAACTCAGATCTGAGCCCCTACTGCAGCCCTGCCTGGGCTGTTCGAGGTGTGCAGGATCTGTGTTCAGGTACATGTCTCACACATCTGGCAGTGCCCATGTCTCCACATTCACACCCTTCCCAGTCTGTCAGCAGAGCACACTGCGATCAGCCATCACCCCTAGACCACCAGGCTTTTTTCTTTTAAGTAGTTATTAATTTTTAAATTATTAATTCCGGTGTAACAGTGCTCAGCCAGAAGCTGAGCACTTGACTATCCATGACTATCCAGTTGCTCTCAGGTTCTCCCCAGTTATCCTTTGCCCTATTCCTTAACATTTCTCTCAGATCTGCATCTTTCTATTAATGTTTTTCACTACTGACATGTCTTCTGGCTACTCTGCTACTTCAAGTTTGTCTTTGCCTTGCAAGTGTCCCTGCTGATGTCTGTGCCCATATCCTACTTCTCCCAACTCTCATAGGGTCATTTCTGGCATCCCACCTTCTGCTGTCCCTCCTTTCTCCAATCCAGCTTCCTTTGCCATCGGTTGAACAATCGCGTTTTTCCACAGCTGCTTCTAACTGCACAATCCCCTCATTGCCACTTGCTCCCCTCCCCAGAACACCAGGCTGGCTTCTGACCAGGACTCATGAGGGAGGTCACTGTTTTTGGATGCACACCCAGGTGTCCCTGAGGCCTCTCCCTTAGGCCTCCAGGTGCCACCCAGTCTTGGCTGACGGAAAGAAAGCTCTCAGGGAAGAGCAACATAATCTAATAAACTCCTCTCTGTATTTAACAGATATTCAATTCTACAGCTCATGGTTTTGTGTATTTGAGTGGGATAATGCTTCTGATGTATTTATTTTTACTTGTTTATGTTTTCCTTTTTATGATGTGTTCCCCTTCACTTTAGAAAAAGTGGGTTTTTTCTCAGATATTATAGACAGCAGTAAATACGAGTGTTTAATTTTTCTGAAACCAAGTAAAATATTATTTTAAAGGTTCTCTTAACTCTAAAAGTGAAATTGTGCTTACAGTTCTGATTACATACATAAATAAATCTGTCATCAGCAAATGCAAAACAAATTATTGTAGAGAATCTAGCTTAAACACAGCCTGTCACAGCAAATTTAATTAAAAACTGGTGCGTATCTAGCTTATTTTCTACCTTCACTGGGATGTACCTGATCAAAAAGGAAACCAACCAGGCAGGCCAGGAAATTGTGTAAAGACTGTCAGCTCCTTTGAGTGCTGTGTTCAAATATATGTCTAATCCAATTAAACCCAAATTAGCAGTCAGAACCTATGGAATGCTTTCCCAAAAACCCCTCCCATGACAGAACTCAGTGCACGTATTTCAGTGAAGCTCTGCCGTTGCTGAGAGCAGACAGGAGTAGTATCAGTTGCTTTTCAACCTACTTAAACACACTGCCAGTACCTGCACTTAATACTGAGTCTTTTGCCTTAACAAGGTGACACTAAAGCCTGAATTCTGGAAAGAACATAAATGTGTTTTAAGAAAATTATTAGTTCCATGCCTAAAGTAAAGGCCTGTGTCGGGGGAGAAGAGATGATACTTACTAAAAATGATGGCAGATAATGAGAAGCAGGAGGGAAAAAAACCCCTTATTTCAAACAGAAATCAAAGCACCTTTAAGAAGAGTTTGTCAAAGCAGAAACACAGTCTCTGCAGTTTAATAGGTATATTAGGAAACAACTAAGCCATATAATCAGTCTGTGTAAACATGCCATAGTTTGGATTGTCTCTATCTTCGTATGATGCTCAGGAGTCACATGGATGAGCTCATCCTACAATGAGGGTCTAGAAATTCCCTGTACTACATGTATCTACTTTAACTGTTAATTTGTGTTCTGTAAATAGGCCTCTTGAAAAGTGAACATCATTCCATGAAGGTCCTGTGAGCCCTGGGATCAGCACTGTTGGGCTGGGGCCAAGGACAAACACCACAGAGCTGATCTACAGTGCCACTCTTCAGTGGGGGTGGGAGGGATTTTAGGTTTTTGTGCTGATTCAAAACTGAGGCCACACGTCCCCAAATCATCATCAATTTGTTTTATTATTTGTCTGGGACATCGAAGCCACGGCTTTCTTGGTAGCTGCTGTAGGAGTATGGCACTTGCTTTCAGAATAAATCAGCATGACCCTGAACCTCCCCATCATCCCAGTAGAACACAGGCATTAAGTATATACAGTTTTCCCAGCATTATTTAAAAATACCTCAAGCCTTTGTGTGGGGGTGACAAGAGAGAGAAATAAGACACGTTAATATGTTTTATAAAGATATACTTTAACTTCTAAGGCACTCAGGAACCATGGTGATGGTTCCTGAAATTGCTCAGATATGAGCTCTGATCACAGGGAACTATTCTAAGATTCAGAAAGAGCATCAGATGCTAATAACTTCCAGTCAGTACCGACCTGGACTGGATTGAATGGGTGACACAGAGCTGAAATCCCTAGAGATCTTCATTTGAATGTCAACTACTGCTCTGACAGGTAAAGTGACCTCAAAGAAAAGGAGGGTCTCACTGTAATCGCACACTGTTGAGAAGTTAAAAACAGTCTCTCACCCAAATTGCTGTACACTTGACACCAGAACAAATTTAGTTTTCCCCCCAGTATTTCCTTTCTTCTCCATTCAACGTTCTGATGGAGTTTGCAGGGAGCTTATGGTGGCTTAGACACCACGAAGTTAAAACTAGTAAACAGTTTGCTGTTGTTGTTCTGTGCATGCCAAGGGGAGCACAAAAGATTATTAATTGCAGAATGATGCTGTCAGTAACAGCCTTGGTCCTGCACTGGGCATCACCCTGTCACTGTCAGAACCTGTCACTGTTGCAGGAGATGTCTTGTATTATCTATCATACTCTGGGTAGGTTTGCTCTTAACAAATATAATTTGAAAACACAGTTGCAATTTTAAGTCATTTTTACGTTCCTTAGTTTTGAACATGTAGTTTACAATTATACTTTAAATATCTTAAAAGGGATCCATTTTACAGCAACCTTAAAAGCTTATTATATAATTCTAACAATTTTAATTAACATACCGACATTTTGTTGCTGTGTAAAATTAAGTTTTCGTCTGCAGTAGCAGCAGCATCCAGGCACTGTCCTGCAGTTCAGTAATGGAAATTTCCCAGCCTCAAAGCACACTCTGTCTCAGTCAGCTGCAACAAAACTCTGGGTGATTTCAATGTTGTTGTGTGTGCTTTACTTGTCCTCAGTTATCTGAAGCTTGTATCTTTTGAAAACCAGCTACTCCTCATGAGCTTGCTTCATCTTGCACAAGACTTAAAATTCAGTAAACAAGCCGGGGATGATAAGAGAATTGAATCACCGGATGAAGAGTTATTTTACAGGACTGAAGAAACAAACCATACATATAAGTCAGTATTTATACAGAATGTTGCAGTGACTTGTGAGTCGTCACTGAGGTCCTGGCATATGACCCTTGTTTTCTTGTGCTGAAGCTTTATGCACTGAAAGACTATTAAGTTCTTACAAAAAGATTTAGCTAGTGCATAATATCAGTCTTCTGATCTCCGTATTTCTGGTATAATTGATTGCTAGGAAAATAAAAAATAATTAAAAAAAAAGAGATAAAATTGTTACAAAGCCTCAGAAGTATAATAATTTACAAATACTAAAACATGCATCCTGTTTCCACCACTTGTTCTCTGTTCAGCTGTAAGGCAGGACAAGTGATGCCTCCAGCAGAGGCAGAAGTCAAAGCATGTAGAAACAGGATTATTAGGGTTTTAAGTTGTTCAGATATTGCAGTAGCTCCATTTTTAATACTTCTTGCTCATAGCTAAAAAATTTAGGGAGCACTTGTGATGAAGAGGTTGGCTGATGTGAGGACAGGGAAGAAACAGTGATGCAAGAAAGAGTAAAAGGGAATGGGGAGGGAAGAATGTAAATTAAAATCAACAGGTAGTGGGACTGAGCAATGGGAGTAGAAGGGTCATAGTTGGAGGGGTGACATTCAGACCCCACTGCATCCAGCTTTGTGTATGTGAAGCCCTTGGCAGACACACAAGTCCCTTCATGGAGAACTGGTTTGGGGAATGATGCCAGGCCTTCTAAAAAGAGCTCACCAAGACTTGCTTTCCCTGACATCATTGTCGTCTGCTGGGGTGACATCCATCACAAGTACACTGTGATGCTGACTAATGACTGTGATGGCATACGTATGTCCTACCTGTCTGCTATGATTAGATTTAGTATAAACAATGGGCAGTGGCTGAACAGAAACAAGTGATAAGGGACAGTGCACTAATGGCATTCTGAGATTTTCACCTAAAAGTCACCAGGGTTTAAAATTCAGCCAGTATTGATACAACATCATACGACAACTGTGTGGCAGCCTTTAGGAGCAGATTGGAGGCTGTAGCACAATGATTGTGAATATAAGGTTCCACACGCAAAATAAACTGTCCTACTGAGTTTTCCTGGCAGATCACATGGAAGCAGATTCCCTCTTCTCCTCTGCTGGACAGGTCCTGGACTTGCTGACATGGAACTGCAGAAGAGGCACCTCCAGATTTATGGCTGAGACATACTTCAGGGCACCTGCAGGGAAATCTGGATGTTTGCTCTCTAAGCTGCACCTGTCCTGTGTGAGGTATCAGTCTCTTTTCCTTGCACTTTGTTCAATCCACTGACCTGATAGCCCATAGAGTCTGTGCTGCTTATTTTTAATAGATAGTATAAATATTACAGACATCCATTACTACAGTCCAAAACTGATGAATCATCATTCTTTAAAACAAACATTTCTTTTGCACTTTTGCATATCTATAGCAGATAAAAGCAGTACAGAGGAGAGCGATTTCCTGAAGGAAGTGGTGTCACCATATTTTGAAAAAAAGAGCCAAGCTGTTGGAATCTGTGTTGCATTACAGGGTAATGCAATACCTCTGAGCACTTCCTGTTTATCACAAGAGATACAATTTTCACCACATCATAAAACTTTCAAGCATTTGTTAATAAACACTCCTAGAGAAAAAATAATTTCCAAATATTCAACCCCCCTGGCATCTGTCATTACAAACAAAAGAAGGTTTTCATTTTATATATCAGGGGACTATTTGTGCGAGAGACGCAGATTCTGAGGGCCCCATCCACCTCCTCCTGAAGGCCACATCTCACATTAGGTCATTCTACCTCAGCACATGACGCTTCTTATATGTAAACAGTAAGATGTTCGAATGAGCAAATGTAATTTTTACTATCATCATGTGTCATTTTTTTAAACAATGTGGGGACACAGAGAACGAACATATGCAGAATTGCAGCACAGAGTCTTGTATGAGAATGACGAGAGTAAGATTTGCTTCTAACAACAATAATCTGCCAGTGCTGAGGTACCCAATCAAACATACAAATTGTGCAGATGTTCACAGTGGTCCTGTCTCAATGTGTAGCCTTTCTCACTTGACAGCTTTGTTGCCTCCATTAATTTTTCTGGATAAATTAACCTTGCTGGAAAAGGTAGAGCTGGGGAGCAAAAGGGGGCAGATTTTTAAACACCAGCAGCCTCGGTGTTGCACTTTGCACACCCAGAAGATAAAATCTTTGGCAAGGAAATGCAAATTATTGTCACTGATTCAGGATGTTCTTGTGATCGTGGCTGGGACTTGGTCTGCAGCTGACAGGGTGGGGGTCGGGGAGGGAATTCAAGATTTCTGCCTTCTCCAGGTAATAAACATTTTGGTAGGTACCTGTGGAGCCCCTGGTGGTCTAGTGGTAAAGGCGTGGCGCTGTCACCGCGGAGACCCTGGTTCGATTCCCGGTCAGGGCCACTCCCGGGCAGGTGGGGCTCGTTAGCCCTTAAAGGCAACCCACCTACGTCCTAAGGACCTCGCTGCCACCGTCCAAGCTCGCTTGGCCCCGGCAGATGAACCTTAGGATTAAAGGGTGGGCTCAGTTCCGCGCACACTGTGTCTCACCTAAAAAATCCAATGCGCAGGCTGGAAGGTGTAAAGACCTTCCCTGGATCTTCGCTCGCGAAGACTGGTCATTATCAGGTACCTGTACAAAAACAGTGCTGTACAATGAGACACAAGACAGGCTTGTGCCTCTTACAGCTTCACCACTGTAGGAGGCTTGTCAAGTTCAGAGCAAACTACAAGGCCTGTCTGTTCAAGATGGAAACATCTGAACTGCAGTTTCATGTGGTAAAATCCTGCTGCACGGAAATTCAAGATAGGTAGTGACTACGAACAATTCTTACTCCTTTAAATCACTATAACATTTAAAACTCTGCCACACAGACTGTTATCAGTTAGACCAGGGGAAAGACTGAACCTCAGAAAAACGTTCCCTCCAACTACCAGCACTAGATCTAGCAAAACTGAATTAATAATAAAGACGTTTGTAGCTTTTTGGATTTTTAAAGTTTTAACAATTGGAAAATTATCTGGCTCACATTATCTTTGTCTTACCTGACATATGGTGGTTATTATAGCAGATAAGACAAGCCTCATGATAAGAGATGCCTTTTGTAAGTGCAACACATCCATTGTAATCAGGCACTACATTTATCTTAACTGCATTACTGAGTCTCTGGGTTTTGTACAAGTGACAGAAAATTGTTTTGAGATCCAACAGCATCCTGCATCTCAATTAACTTTTCAATATGATGTCTCATTTCCCACTTATGTTAACAGCCAAACTGAATCCCTGGCCTGGAAATCCTACTGTTTAAAAAAAAAAGAAAAAGAGAGAACCATTCTTTTGGGAGGGTATGGCAAAATATCTGCAGGATGATGCTCTGCATCCAATTTTACATGTACCATTAACGGCAGCAGAGTAAGATTAAGTGATTATTCTCTGCCAAACAGTATGTGTGGGGGAGCAGACAACAGATGTGCAGCCACTTAGCCTATGCCTTGTGCACCAGAGTGTGGTATGGAAATGCATGTGGATATTTAATTGTTATTCAACTACAAGTTGCTTGGATTTCTGAGTCTGGGAAGCGCATATGCTGCACTGAGAAATGAGTGTTTATTAGCACAGGAGCTGTGCTGGCCTTTCCTGCAGAGAGGCAAAGTACCCCAATCTAGAGAAAATGGATTAAAAGGGGGCTGTGCACCACTCTCATGTCCCATTTACCTTTGTGAAGTGCAGTTGGATAAATGCCAATATATGGATACATTTCCATCATGAACTCTGAACAGCTTTTACTGCTGCTTATCACAGATAATAAAGTGCAGCAGCTGTCCTTTTATCAAATCCCAGTTTATAGAAATGTATGTCTAAATAAGGGACATAAGCAAGATCCCACCTTCAGGGACAGCCACATGGATACATAAACCCTTTAAGAGCTAGGATGGGACCATCATCTTGTATTCAAGTATTTTTCCAGTGCTTGTTGCAGCAACCTTCTGTGGTTACTCTGCACATGTCCTCTTTCCTCTCTGATTCCTCCTTCAGGACTCTTACCCATGCCAACATCCTCCAGGGCTCCTGCAGTTCCATTCAGTCCTTTCTCTGCTGTATGGGCTGATGCTGCTGGGTGACCTTCCTTCCCCTGTCACCCTCCCTGGTCAGGCTGTGTTCATCCTGTGCCCTTTTGAGGGAAGCCCCACCTAGGAGGTGAGGTGGGAGATTAGGCATCAAATAGCAGTGAGGCATCCCCCCAAACACCCCAAATCTTCAGCAAAAAATTTGATGTTCATTCTTCTCTCACTCATTGCAGTTCCAGTCTCCACTCTCACAGTGTCCAATTCTTCTCCTTTCCTGGGCTGGTATATTTTTTACTGAATTTATTTTCTTGCAGTTTACTGAGCTGCATGAGCTCATTAAAGAGCCAGACAAGCACCAGACCTGTACAAAGAAAGCGGCAGGGCTGGAAGCAGAAGCATCATTTTGATACCAGCAGTCTTTTGGATTTGGCTCAGCTGCCGGGTGATATCACTCCATAAGACAAGTTTCAGCTGTAAAACACGGAGGTTTGACTGCACTGCCGAGAAGCCTTCAGACACTTCTCTTGCCTTTGCCATGCTTTGCTGCACTTTTCTTGGTTCTTGAAAAATGCAGGAAAAAGCAATCATGTTGGCAGTTTTATAGTGACTTCCTCACCACCTCCTTTCTGCTCGTCCTCTGTCTCTCCTTTTTCTGCCATTGACCCTAAAGTCTCTCTGCTGTAATTCTCTCTGCTCCTGGTGGTTTTGTCCTACCATCTTACAAATGCAGGCCTCCTTTCTCAGGACAAGTGTTCAAAAAAAAAAAAAAAGTATTACACAATCACCAAGACATGCGCATTACTCACCAGAACAATCCTGGGGATCCTATTTCTGCCCCTCAGCACTTCAATAGCACCAGTGCCCTGAAGGCAGAACCCAGTCAGGACTGTGGGTGTACAAACCCAGCCCTACAATGGAAAACTCTGCTTTGTGCAATGATCAGGAGCCATCCTGCTGTGAAGGACAGAAGTATCTTGCTGTGTTTGTTTTGCGATGTGGTCTGATCATTTATACTGCTGAATTAATAAAAATAGCAAGATAGAAGCTTACCAAATGGAATCCATTGCTAACCGTCATTCATTGTTCTATTCTTGTTCCACACACATTAGGAAGTGCACATTATCTGGTAAATCAAGACAATAGAAACAAATAAATGCCTTTATATTGTAAGAAAAAAAAAAAAGCCTTTCTAGAAATACTGTAGAAACAGTCACATCCTCTATTTCTGTCTTTTATAGGAGGCAGGCTGTGTCTTATTATCATCAAGGAAGAAGTAAACAAATGTAATTTAATCAGTTCTGTCTTTCATTTATTTGCATCAGCCAGAATAAAAGACAAAGGCAGAATGGAAAACAGCAGCTTTGTGCTAGAACTTTGAATGCACAAAATACTTCTTTCTCCAGCCATCAAACATTAAAAAACGCTCTGCATACCAGTAATAAAAAAAGTGTCAAACAATTGACCACAATGGGAATCACAATGCTTCATTAAAAGCTCTAAAGCAGAGTAGAAAAGCTTCCAGCCGTTTGCTAAACAGAACTAAATGCTCAGATACTTTCAAAAAGTGTCAGAAGATGCTTTCATCTTGTCTAGTCAGGCAGATAAATATCTCCCTGCTTATTCAAGTCTTGTCTCCGAGCTTGTGCCGCTTCACCAGTACCAGCTGCATGTGCCACTTGCTGTGCTGGGACTGTGGCACCTCTCAGAACACCACAAGAGGTTAATGTCCTCCCTGGTGATGAAGCTTCATTGCATGTGGTGCAGGGATTTAATCAGTAGTTTTGTATTTACATATGTAATTATGTATTATTTGGAGAACCTAACCTATTTGTTCAGCTGACAGGCGATGTTGTGATAAGGAATTTCAGCAGGCAGGATATTTATAGATCCTTTATCTCTACATACAATCAGAGCTGAAACGTCAAACAATACCCCGAATGAAGGGTTGTTTCAGTTCAACTTTTCCCTATTGTTGCTTATCCTTTTTTTTTCCTCCCTTCTGTCTGGTTACTGCCTAAAACTTGGTAGTGAGAGAAAAAAGGGAATGTGACTCACGCTGACAACTTCATTTGCTGTAAGAGACCTCAGTAATTGCTCTAACCCACTTACAGGAAAACTACCCCTCCTCTTTCTCTCTTCCTCCACCCTTAGACAGACAGAGGCCATGCTTGTAACAGGAGCAGCCGGCTGCTCTCTGAGGTCATGCTATCACTTATGGAGTAACCCAGCCTCATTCTTTTCAATTTTCTTCTGGATTTCAAGTTAACCCTCACAAGAATTTAGAGCAGCTGCAGTTTAAGGGGCGTCTTCCTGACACGGATTTTTCATGAGCCTAATAACCAGGGTTTGCAAAGGGCTCCCAGCTCAAACACAGCAGGGATGAGGTGGCTGCTCCCACAACACACAGGGCTTGGCAGCCATAACGGCAGCTTCAGGATAAAGCTGCCAAGGAGTCAAACAAATGTCGCCTTTTCCTTTCCTTCTGGGATGGGGGCAGGGAATGGTAAATAGGAACAGGAGAAGAATCAGCACAGTGCCGTGCAGCACTCTACCAAAATATATTTTCATTTTTACTTACATAATCAACATGAGATTGGCATTCGTAGTGAGGTAGTGGAACAGATGGTAAAGACTTAGTTTTCAGCAAGACGTTAATTAACAACAAACTCTGGTTTCTGCTACAGAAGGGGGTTTGTTCTGCTCTAGCAGGATTAAGATGGGTGCTTACTACATAAGACAAAACTCAGTTTCCCCAGACAGAACTGTGATCTTTATATTTCTTTTCTTACATTACATCCCTGTCGACTTTTCCAGGATACTCTCTAAAACACAGCAACATTCCAAATGCAAAGCCTTATTAAAAACCATCCCAAATTTTGGTCCTAGCAGTAGCTTGGGATTCTCTTTGCAAACACTTCTGAATGTTCTATGGACATATAAACACAAAGAGGACAGAGAAGAAGAGTTAATATGATTAAGTGAGAGAGCTTCATGCAACTTGCACTTCAGTTGAAGCTTGTTTTAGCTTGTTGAAGCTTTTACAGATATGATTGAAGTTAAAGCTTTCTTAGATGCATGCTCTGCATGAAGTTCTGTCTCTTCTTCCCTCTGTTCCACACACTTGGAATCAAAATCTTCAGCACACTGATGCAGCTGAGTTGGAAAGAGCTATCCAAAGGGGACTGAAGCAAAAGGTAGCTATGCAAGACATTTAATCAAACCGCAGGCAGAGAATACACCACCCAGCCACAATGAATAAGGAAACAGCACGTGCAGCTGAGAAGTCTATTGTCTATTTTTCATCTGATAAGCTGGCTCGACATCCAGGCACACTGACCACCCCACAGACATCCAGCTCTTCCCTCACTGTGCTGCAAGGTGATGGGAGATTCACTCTTCCTGCTTTGTATTCACCATCAGAGGCTCTCCAGAGTCACATGCCCCAGTCCTGCAGGGGCCTGTGGGCCACATTCCTCCAGGGATTACATCCATCCCCAGCAGGGGAGAGAGAAGAGAGATGCAGGCCTAAAGGGATGGGCAAGCAGTGGGAAGGGAGGAGCTGAGGGGAGCAGGGGAAGGAGTGAGCTACAGAGAACCTCCAAATGAGCATTGGCAGGAACTGGAGGGCAGTGCTGCAGGAAAGGGAGTGGGGAAGAAGTCATACACTGCAACGATATTATATAATTAAATACAATATTATATATTATATAAAAGAGGGCAACAGGGCATCTAGATTTATCCACTGCGTAGCTAGGAAATGAACCCATTATTCCCACCTCTCTACACTCATCCCTTTGCTGCCAGCAAATCTCTAACACCTGACAAGAAACATCTCTGCCCATTCTAGTGACATGTACAACTAGAAAGGATGCCTTTCCATTACTCCCACTTTGTCCATGCAGGCAATAGATGGTTGTGGGTCTGTGATGTAAAGCTGAAAATCATGCCCCTATTAATTACCTAGAGGGAGTGAATGATATTATTGCAGAAGATTTTTTATTTTCTTTCAATTTTTGTGTTAAAAATATAGCTGGGATGAGTTAAAAATTACATTCAAGAATACTGTGGTTATGGAGTCATAACACTGAAAAATGAGTATATGCCTGAACCAAGAATGTCTGTTCCACCTTTCGGCAGCTACTTTTAATTACAAATATCAGGTAGGCTCCCATGCCATATTGCTCTCAACTATGAAAAAGTGCAACCTGACATTGTTTTATGGAGCCCAACTAACCTGCAGAGTTGTGCAAGATTTGGGCCTCCATCAATTCATGTGGTGTTAAATCAGAAATGGGCCACAAGAGAGTATTTTGCATACATCAGATGGCAGAGATTCTTTGCAGGATGATCTTCAGGAGAAGTGTCAGATATCACTGAAACTGTGCTTAGGAGGTGCAAAGTAGAGGAAAGAAAAGAACGCAAAATATTGTATTCTGCTTGGCCTGTCCTCCTTTTGCAGGGGTTAAGAGGGAGATGTGAAAATCAGCAGAACTGTTTCTGTACTTAGAGTTGCTTTTTTGGGAGACAAGAAGGGTGATGAAAAAGCCTTTGCAGATATTACCTCTAAAAAAAAAATGTAATCAGCATAACAAGAAGTTAACTCTTCAAGCAAAACTAAAAAGAAAAGGACCAACAGACGCATAGACAAGTACTGACTTCAGTGGAGCTGCAGGGCTGAATTTGGCTCCAATTCTGTGAAGTACTTTCAAAGCAGGAGCATTCTGCATACAAATAAGCATTAAATAATTTGCATCATTAAGAGAGCTCTGAGCAGCTCTTCTGGACTTTGAAAAAAGCTAAAGGAAATGCACATTGTTTGAATACCACTAACAACAGTCATTAATGAGCATTAAGACATCTACAGTATTGAGACTGAGCTGTAATAAGATACCCAACCTCCTTCCCAGGTTATTTTCCTTATTGATTTGTAGAATTTCTCACACATGAGCTTTGGAGTGTGACAGAGCTCAGCAATTAATGTAGGAACACCCATTAAAGAAATACAATTACTTCTTTTTTGTAATGCATCTTTTAATTTTGCTTTTCTAGAAATGTAGCCCTGTTTGGTATAGATACCACAGACAATTTAAACACCAAAGAAACAAAGAGGTAAATGGATTTACCCAGGATGACACACACTGTGTAACAGAAATAGCCAAACGGGTCTGGAAGTCCTGTTTCCCTGTTTATCTATTTCATTTGATCAGCTCTTAGCAGAGCTGCTGCAGCACTGGGATAATCTGTGGCCTCACACTATATCTCAAATGCTTGGAAACATGTTTCCAAAGTAGCAGACAGCGCAGAAGGTCAGGTGAAGAACAAAAGTTGTGCAAAGAACCAAAGGTACTTCAAATATAGTTGAAGGTACTCAAGTCCCAGAGCTGCAGGACTTGAGGAGTGGTGGAATACTGAAAGCTAAATTCGCACAGCAAAGTGCAAAGGGGGAGGCAGGGGCAGGCACCAGCCTACAGGCAGTTCAAGGGGAGCTGGAAAGAATCTTTAATGAAGGCAGAAATCATTCTGGGTGACTCAGAATATTGGTATTCACAAAAAGAATTGAGAACAGGCAAAAATAAATAAAGCTGAAAGCAAAACCCATAGGCAAAATCCCTCTCAGTAGCCAGAATACTGATATAATCTGAACAACCAAATAACAGGTCCTTGTGAAAACCTCTCTCTGGGTACTTCCTGCACACCAGCCCCTCTCCACAGCTGGCGATGGCTGCAAGCAGCTCCCACTGCCCCAGTATGGGAGCTTTGCAGGCCGCTGTTGTGCTGACACCCTTTTTCTAGCAAAATGCAGAATGGTGGTCCTCCCTCCACAACCCCAGCCCTCAGCTTTCCTGTGATATCTTAACTAGTGCATTGTGTAACCTCACAAACTTCCCTTGAGCCCTGAGCAGCTCAGCACGGCTTTCATGAGCTGCCAGCTTTTGTACATGTCACAGGCACAAACGACGGCCCCTGACAGACCCAAAGTCGCAGTAGTTTTATTTATGAGTGGATTTATGCTAGCCAACTTCCAGATCCTGCCACCATCAGCTAAAAATGTATGCAGGCAGCATTTAACTAAACCCCCAAGTTTTACAATGAAGACTGAAAAACAGGTTAATTTCAATTTTTAATTTTTTTTTCTTTTTAATACAAGCATGATGACTTTTTGCCTTTCTTTTCCTAATTTTTCATTAAAGAGTTGTCAAAGAAGCTACAGTTATATATTTTGGAACTGAGATCACTATGACTGAAGAAGAGGGAAGACTTCCTGACAGTGAGATCCATTAGTCAATGGAGAGGCCTCCCGAAGGAGGTGATAGGAGCACAAAAAGTGCTTTAGCAGAGCCAATATTAAGTGCTCCAAGGGATGCAGTCAACTCCAGAGGATTGCCATGAGCCATGGCCTTCAGCACAGCAGGCCTCCTGCCATTAGTCTGCTAATGCACATCCTGGCCTGGCCAACTGCTATTGAAAATAGCTCACTGACTTGAAATTTCATTAACAAGAAAATATTAGAAGACAATTTTCTCATGGTAGGGGCATGCAATGTGTCTTCCCATTACAAAAGGTTATTAGCTATTATGTTATTATTAGGGCGAAGAAACCAACAGTTTTCATTAGTATTTGTATTAGGGTTTTTTCATTAACTTTTCCTTAAACTACCTGAAAAAAACCCCCACTATGTTGCTTGGATCCCCACGATGTCTATTTTACCCTGCGGAAAAGCCTGCAGATGCCAATCTTTTGCCAGCGTTACCAAAGAAATAAAAAAGTAAAAGCCACCAGTTACAAAGGGGTTAAGACTGAGAACACAGATCTATAATCTCTTTACCTTAGAAAGCAAGCAAAACCAAGGCAAAAATTGAAATGCTACAATTAAGGCAAAAAACAGCCTCATAAATTTTTCCAGGAGGAAAAACATACTGGGGAGATAGTGGTGGGGAAGATTAAACTATTTTTCAAAGATTTAGCATCAGCACAAAACTGAGCACTTGAAATGCTTTCCTTATAATTTCCTGGTTAGTATCACTGCACTGTGCAGCAGGAACACTGTTCCAGTGGTTCAGCTGATAATTTCTAAACACATTGTATTTAGACTTTGAATGTAACATTAATACTGGGGGGTTTGATCTTCATTTTAGTGTCCTGATCCATTGGGACACTAAAAATTGTACAGGCAACCAGTGTTTGATCTGTAGTAAGAGGAAGGTTTGTCCATGTATGATTTGATACTTCTAACATTTTGAAGAGATGGAAATCCATTGGAGTGTAGGAAGAGAGAAGGGCAGAATGACTCTGTTTTTAAAAGCAGACTCACCAGGGCAACACCAAAGCCTGCCGGCACTGTTGAATTTGATCTTTGTCTCAACAGCAACATCCCAGTTCTTCTGAAAGATATGAGGCTTTGGGTGACTGATATGATAGAAAAGAGGAATTGGCAAAGCCATTTCAGTGCCTGATTCATTCTCCCATCTCAAGTTCCTCATAGCAGGGCTGGGCTGGAACAGCTCCAGGGCATCTTTTGAGAGCCAACACTAAGGACATGGTACCTTTAAAGGCCAATGACCTTCAGCCAGTTAAGTCTGTCAGGGAAAACTCTTGACATGCATCCACACTTCAACCCATGCTGGTCATTTCAGCTGCTGGAACAATTGTGTGGAATCAGCTGCATCAATAGAAAACAACTGAGTGAAATATCTGATGCCAGTGGCCCAACTCGTGTTACCTGTGCCCACCTGTAACCCAACAATTAGATCCATCGTTACCAGCTTGGCTTAATTATAACTTAGAACTTCTCCAAACACAGGCTTTGGTCAAGATTTTAAATGACTATAATTAATTATACAGAAAGCCTGAAGTGTCTTCTTATCCACTGTTAAATGTTTTTGTCCTTTCCCCACACTGCTACCAGAACTTGGTTTCATAAAGGAACTCTGCTGTCAACTGAAAGAAAGGTATCTCTTGTAGCCTGAAAAACACATAGAGAACTACCTTTTATGTCTTATATAAAGAGAAACAAGGCTTCAGAGTTTTTTAATCTCAACTAAGAGATGCTAAAAAGAATATTATTCTAACCTATACTTGCTTAGTCCCACTCTTTACATGAATGATTTATTTCTTGCCTCCCACTTAAAAGGCTTTTTGCACTCTCCCCAGATTACTGCTGCTGTCCGTTATCAGAGATCCGATATTGAGCAGCTGGGCCCCAGCCTGAACCAGCTACTTGAATTTTAACCAGTAAAAAGCAAACCACAGAATGAGTGCCAGAAACACTGCAACTTCTTAAAAAACATGGGGAAGAAGGAAGGTATTATCATGCAAAGAAACGTTCCCCACTCAGCTTTCCAGTGCCCACTCGTGAGATGAAAATATTAAGGGAATGACACAATATGCAGAAGGCTCTTCTGCGGAGTCTGTGGCCATGGCCAAAACCCCCAACCCTTCCCCATAGCTTTTTGGTTCTCTCCTTTGGCCAAAGGAAGGAGGGAGCCCTCTAGGGGTGGCACACGGAGCCCCGGAGGAACATTTCGGCACCTGCAAAAACGTTTGCCTTTTCCATGCCGAGTCCCTCCTGCCTTACCTTGAGACAGATGCAGTGTCCTGGCACCTGGCATGTACAAGGGCTCAGGAACAGAAGGTCTACGCAGAAAATCAGGCTGGGTACAAGGAAATCACAGGCTTTTCCTGGAAGTGCCTACTCCACAGCTCGGAATATGATGTGGGAAGTCTCTTCTCATGCTCATGCAGCCTTTTCCAGGGAAAACAGAACATCATCAGACTGAAGTGCTGGAGCTACTCTGGCTCAGCACAAGATAGCTAGAATTTTTTCTTTTAGTCTATGCAAAAGACTTGGTTTTGCCTTACTGTATGCCTCAAGCACACAGTGAACTCTTGTATAAAATGAGCAGGCTTATCCTTGTCAAGGCATGTTCAAAATAGCTCTTTCCAAAAGCTACTTCTATTTGAAGGCTAGATAACAGCTGCAGCATTTAAACATTTAAATATTTTCTCATTCTAATGAGAACTTAAGATTCTTTCCAAACAGCTCAACATAACAGGAGAATTGGCAAACCCAAACTTCAAAACATTTTGACTCCAGTAAAATAAACCCCCAACAAAGCAAAACACAAGTATCAAAAAGCATCTAACAAGATATTAAGAATTTGCTGTAACACAACAGGCAACAGATTTTGTTAGATATCCAAACCAGAAAAGTGCAAGAACAGTTAACACTTCGGAAAAAATCAGTTTGTTTGTGTTTGTTTGTTTATATAAGGGATATTGACTGTAAGACACATGCACAGTTACATGTGCAAAACTGCATTATCAGTTTGGTGAAACAGGTAAATACACATTACAGTCACTTACAAGCAACTTTCTGCATGACATTCAAGGTTAGGCTTGATTTCTTTAAAAAAAAACAAACAAAAAAACCCAAAAAATCTGAGACAGTAAGATGAAAGCCTGTAATCTACATTAGTGCTATCTGAATAGCAAACCTGATCTAGATGCAGAAAGTGTTTTAACTGGCCCTCACCAAAGAGCAGAGACATGTGAAATCTGCATTACTGGAGGAGAGTCCATATTTCTAAAAGTTTTCCTAGTCCTTGAAGAAACACTTTTGCTCACTCCATTTCCCAGGTGGAAAGGACAGGCTGTTGGTAGAGCTGTGCCCTGGTTTCAGCTGGGAGAGTTAATTCTTTTTGTAGAAGCTGGTACAGTGCTGTGTGTTTTGGATTCAGTGTGAAAATACTGTTGATATCTCACTGATGTTATAGTTGTTGCTAAGCAGTGCTTACTCTGTATCAGTCTCTGGGGCTCTGCCAGCGAGGAAGTGCACAAGAAGCTGGGAGGAAGCATGGCCATGACAGCTGATCCAAACTGGCCAAAGGGCTGTTCCATACCCCAGAACATCACTCCCAGTGTATAAACTGAGGGGAGCTGGCCAGGAGTGGTGGATCTCTGCCCAGAGACAGGCATCAGTCAGTGGGTGCTGAGCAATTGTGTTGTGCGTCACTTGTTTCACATGGGTTATGCTCCTCTCTCTCTTAACTTTTAATTAAAACTATTTTAATTATTATGATTATATTTTTTATTATCTTTCCTTTTGTTTCAATTATTAAACTGTTCTTATCCCAACCCAGAAGTTATAAATTTTTCCCCCCATTCTCCTCCTGCTTGGGGGTTGGGCAGGGAAGAGGGAGGGAGCAGCTGCGTAGTACTTAGTTGCCAGCTGGGATCAAACCATGACAAGCTAAAGAATTTATTTCTGCATAGCAACCCCCAGTAAAGTTTGTAGAGAGCATGGATGAAATCAGCAAATACTGGTCAAGGTAAACTGAGCAGCTCCAGAAGAATGAAACAGCCCTCATTTGTGTTGCCTCAGTCACTAATTCAGGCTGAAACAGAAACATGTGCCTCATCACCACAGTTATTTCAGTATTTCCTACAGTCTAGGAAATGAGAGGCAACAGATTTTACAGCACATTTTCCACAAAGAAACATATATCCAATTAGAGTAGTTGAACAGGACATGAAGATTTGTTATTCCTTGCTCAAACAATCAAGGTGGATAATACTTTTGTGTCATGAACCCCGTCAATGACAGCTAAGTTTAGCTTTGCATAGCTTTAAATCAAAGGTTTACATTCACTTCCATAAGCTTATTGATTGCTTCTTGCTCAGACCCACCAGCAACAGAGTCTGCCATGACTGGGAACAGGAGCAGAGGATTGGCTCTGAGCCCCATGTTGAACACGTGGGCTGTTCGAGATCTGCTAGATGAGAAAGAAAACAGTCAGAGTAAGACAGCACAGCCAAGAATCGCCAGTGCCTGGATTTCACCTTCTACTATTCAAAAGGAGACACTAAAGCCAATGTTGGATATCAGAAAGGAGAAACAATAGTGATGTCCAGTCCTGTTCTCAACTTATCTGGAATGGGCTCAGAGCTATGGAAAGGCAGCACCCTCTGTTAGGAAGTGCACGGGATGCCTATGAGACATGGGATTGACTTTGTTCAGCTCTGTATTGTCATTGGCAAAAATTAGCTGTAGATGCCTTTGGACTGTGGAGTTACCTAGATGATGGATTCCCATTGCTGCCTTACAAAACCACAAAAGAACACTGGCAGGCAGCTGCTGCTTATGCTCCCTGGTGAGCTCAGTGAATCACAGGCTCAGAAACTGCTGCTAACCCCAGTCAAGCAAATCCCCACACTACACTTTTCTGAGAATTTGCTGCTTTTTTTACAGATTATTACAAGTGAATTTTCACCCCTGAAATTCTGTTAAAAAAATAAAAACAAACCCACAAAACATTTAGAACCATGAAATGAAAGATATTTTCAAGAGATTTGGCGTTTGATCTGAAGTACGATCAAGCATGCCCACAGCATCTTGACCAGAATCTACCTGATGACTCACTATGGCTATACTTACTTTTGAATTTCAAGAAATACTATAGCTGCTTCCCTTTGACGCAGCCTCCTGGGTTCTTAGTACACTTTTATTTTCTTCTTCACTGAAATAAATAAATAAGCATTTAGACAAACTGCCTGAAAGACTGCATCTCGCAGATTGCTAAGACTGTTAAAAGTTGCCTTCTGTCAAGTCTCCCACCTCTGTCCTGCTCTTCCTGACATGTCTTCCTGAGGACATGAACACCTGCACTTCAGAAACAATCCCACATTAGCTTAGCTTCCAAGTCATACTTATATTTTGATAGTTACCATCCTTCTTAGAACCTCCTCTATGTTCTGTAGTAAGTCAGCCCTAACATACTCTAAGAATTCATCCTCCATCCTTCCACTTCAGCAGTTAAAGTCCACTTCCTTAACTAGTATGCAAGTGAATAAAAACTGTCATAACCTCTGCTGCAACATGGTCTTTCAGATCATTATCCCACTACTGTAAGACATAGACAGTACGCTCAATTTAACCTGCTTTGTTACTGTGGCCAGCTGGTAAAAGGAACAAAAGAAAACTGATCAAATCCATGAATTGGAGGTAAACAATACAAGATTTAGTGACATTCATCTTTTCAAGCAAGCACGCTTGTAGTGCTTCCACTGGTCTCTTTTCCCAGAAAAGCCCTATGGAAGAAGGTAAGATGTGATGTCAGGGTAACCACTCAAAGATGTGCAACAAGAGCATCGTGGATCCAGCTACTTGCAGTATTAAAATGAAAAATATATTTAAGGAAAGAAACAAACAGTGCTTTAAATCACTATACTTTATTAATACTTCAGATACATCAGATCCTACAGTGGTGAGTTCTTATCCCCACCTGTTTCCAATCACTGCTTTGAAACAATTTCCTGCAATATGTAAATAGATACATGAGGCACTGTGTGAATACAAAAGTGACAATACAAAAAACCCCAATTAAACCTCATGCAATACATACATATATAAAAAAATACGGCAATGTAGCATAATACACACGAGCACTATTAGAACAATCCACGTAAATGAAAGTACAATATGCATAGCATTTAATGATCAATGACAACAGGGTTTTGACCTGTGCATAAAACCAGTCAGTTTAAATAACTTTTAAGAGACTAGATAACTGGTTAAGCCACAGTTTATAAAACCTGCTGTACTGTAGCTTTTCTGCTCATGGTCACAAGTGCAGATTAGCATACAAAATAAATAAGGACTGTGATTCTACAACACTTGGCTAACAGCTCCTATTTCAGAGTCACTGGCCCTCTTATTTTCATTCAAGGTTCAATAGCCAACACAGTGGCAAGAAATGTGCCTAAAGCAACAGCTCTGCTCTTGTACTATTTTAATACTGATAAGAACACATATTTTTTAAGTCAGCAGGAGTAGTCACAGAGGTCTAACTTACCACTACATAAGCACAGGACTGACATTACCTTACAGAGCAGACCCTGAAGAATGACACTGACTGAAGGGCCGATGAGCCGTAGGATGTGCTCCGTTACCAGCCTGTCTGCTTGGCCAGCTGGGGTGAGAGAGAGAGAGCTGAGGAGGTGAAGGAAATCAGAAAGCTTTTCCCCCACTCTAAACAGTGCAAATGTTTGAAAACAATCTGCAGGAACAAGGAACTACAGAGACAAGAATGTTTCTCAAGTCTTGTAATCAGGATGAGAGCTACTGTTACCTGAAATAAGCTAAAGTATTCCTATGGAATAACATGCAAATAACAGGATTTTCTTCTTAGACATCCAATACTGGTCCATGCCAAAGACACAACAGCTATTGTAGTCTCATCTTCCTAGCTGACATGGCACTTTTTACACTCTTGGTGTTGCAGGCCTCCAAAGATTGGACCACATTCACTATGGACACAGATGAAATTAAAATTATAAAATGGCAACTAAACTAACTTAACAGCTAACAGAATTTACAGTCTAAGAAGCACCATTTTGGGGAGAGGAGGTGTGGTATGACAATGTAAAAGGACATAAAAGATAGAAGAGGGACAATTGGGAGAGAATAAGGAGGAGACAGAGCAGAACTGACTTTCAGAAGAGGAAGTTGGAAGTAGTTAGTCATTACGTTAAAAGGACTTAAGAGTTAAAACTTTATACTGACAAAAAAGAGGCCAGTGTAAAGTTTTAACCCCCAGTAAAACAAATATCTTGCTATTATTAAACAAGGTGAAGCAAAAAAAAAAGGTTAAAAAAAAGCAGCATTAATCATCCAATATTCAGTAGAATGCCTTGTAACAAAGTTCAAAAGGGCAGCATGAAAAAAAAGAAATCATAGTATTTTATTGCCCTGAAAAGCTCTCCATAGGATCAGTCTAATATCCTAGCTGTTATCTCTTTATCACTGGACATCCAAAAAGAACCATCATTGCTTAGATAAAAGGATAAATAGTTCCTAGAGGGAACTATGGTCACACCTTCCAGCTCCATTTGCCAAAAAAAACCCAAACCTTCTGTATGCCTAATGTATTGCCTCAAAAATGATAATTAACTTTAAGGAGCGACCCGATAGATCAGGAAGGACCAATGAAGTTCCTGTGCATGGAAATTCAGAACCATTTAATCATTAGCAAGTTCAGTATTTGATATATTAATGTCCCCTGGCAATTAGTAATCAATAATCATAATCTAACTAGTCACAAAGCACAGATATATTCAACTTCCTAAGGAGTTGAACGTATCTTCTCTCTTCAGACTAAAATCACACAATAAGACATAAAACTCTGAGAGGAGTTTGTTATCAAAATAAAGCAGACATTACAAAGCAGCCAAATTAATTTGCTTAAAACAAGGGTTTTCAGCAGACAGTGCACTGCCAGCTCTTCAAGGCTGCTTTTTTTTATTCCATTGTTTGCATTCGAAGAAGCTTGAAAACATCTCTTTTCCTATTGATTTTGTCCTTTTTAACAAAAGT